GCGATAACCCTTGGTGCGTGAAAGGACACGAGACAGCGATGTCATAGCCCGAAGAGAGGACGCAGTTCGGTGCACTTCGACAAGACCTTGCAGCGCAGGGTAAATTCTCTGCAAAGCCCCGGGTAGAATGAGATGCGGTTCCAAGTAGGCCAGACCTTGCAAGGTCGACAGGGAGAAGGTCATTGCAGTGCTGCTCTTGGCATATATGCCCATGAAGATTACGTCACGGATGCACAAGACAAATCGACGCTTCAGAGGCTCATTCAATCGTCGCTCGGGTGGGACATCCATCTCACCGGTTTGTTCGCGATTCCAACGCATGACGAAGAAATCAGTGAGGTAATAAACCAGTTGTGACAGGGTCTTGGTCCAATGACCGGAGTTTGAAGGATGGAAGAACGTCTCAACAGCCTGGATAAGACCTTCCAGCTGTGTGAGAATTGAGACCTCGGAATCCACACAAGCAGGGGAAAGCGACATCACAATCCACCGGGCAATATGATGAGCAACCGGGTGCTTGCGCCCATCTCGATCAAGCATGATACCCAGACCTGACGAGATATCCACCAGGGCACTGTACGGGGAAGTGGATTGCCCGACGGGGATCTCCAACAACCTCAGTATCGCGGTGAAAACGAGAGCAGACTGTTCTTTTGTGAAGATACCATGCTCGGAGAATGGAATGTGAGCAGCGGGCAGAGAATCTCGGGCCAATCGAGAAAGATAGTCTAGATATGTTGTGTCAAATGTTTTTGACCGACCGACCAATGACCACAAATGGAAATGTGTAGGCAGTTGGGTCTGCGGGAGGAGATCGGCTCGCAATTCGGGAGCTGGGGATGTCGGAAGCAGCAAATTAATGAGCCCGGCGACAACAAAGGCACCTTCTGAGAATGATGTGGTATAATGAGGCAAGAATTCTTCGAGCATAGCAGGAAGCTCGCACGGGTCAATAAATAATTGAGCGAATGCGCAAAGCTTGGTCAGGGTCTTCACATTCCGCTTCAGGTTGGTTGAGTGAACAAGGCCGGACTCTGTGGGGAGGACAAAAGCCTTGAGCTCCTTGTATAGAGGCTTCCAATCTAACACGAGGTCTTTGACTGGTCTTAGATAATGCTTGCGCTTAGTGAGAAGCATGAACATGCTCGAAAAACGCTCGGCGACCGACGGGTCAATTCCAGGAGCGAGTGCAAGCTCAAAGTAAAGTTTTACAAGGCTGATGCGCTGCGCCCTGGTTGGGTCGAACTTGAGCGACAGCCAGGCGCGTAGCTCGCGTGTCCAGTGCACGGCTCCGGGATTGAAGTCGCCGGCCTCCACTGCAATATAGAGCTGGTTCAAGATCTCTCGCAGATTTTGATTCCGCTCAGTCTCATCCTCAAGCTGGTATGGGAGATATTTGAAGTATGGATAGGTACGAGGCCGCACGCGGGCTATCGGTTCGCCTTCGCCATTCACGGCGATGGGTTCACCACCGGGCGAGGTTGCCCGGGAGAGCTCTTGTGCATGATGGAAATTGTCGGATGTGAGAATCGCCTTGGGGCCGGAGGCTTCCATCGTCGGATGAGAGATAGGGAAGGGAATGGTCGACACGAGGTGGAGATGAGGTGAGGAGTAGCCGTTACCGTCGGTGAGCTCTGGTAGCAATACGTCAGCAACGCCGATGTTTCACGGAGGTATCCTATTTTCCGCGCAGTATTGATCACAGAACAATATTCGAAGGGAATCGTACTTTTAATGAAACTCTGAAGCTCCCACTCCAAAAAGCGCGGGATTTGAAACCGGGGATTGTATTTCACACAGCTGTGTTCGCATGAGGTACTTTTTTTTTTCCCGGCAAGCGAGTGGGAATATGATGGGCTCGTACTCAGTTTGGTAATTGAGCAGTTCAAGATTTCGGCCTCCTTTATTTCTTTTCTTCTTGAAATGCCTAGATGTTGAAGGTCAAGAGGTCAAAGGGGAGAGAGTCGAGGATGTGATGACATAATTCCACGGTAACGAACTTTGGAAGCTTGGCCCCTGCAGACCCGCGTGGAAAGATGCAGACTTAAGTAGAAATTGCTTTTGATTTGATAAAGCTATGTGAGGTTCTATTTCTTTCTTCTTTTCCAAAAATTTATAATCGTTTGGGTGACTGGGTCTTTTACCCCAACTTAGGCAGACAGCCTTACGCACGTGTATCGCCCAACCAATTCGGGATAGCCGCATTTTCGGCCATTCACAGTTAGACCACTTCTTACTTAAAAACCACATATACCCAGGTGACTCGGAACAATATCAAGCCGAGTCATCGCTCGTTATTGTCTTTCTTATGCTGGGGGCAGGAAAGAACCGAAAAGAACCCCCTGGATCAACGCATAGGCCACCATGCTATACACAGCGGCCACAAGTGTCCGGCTTTGCTTGGGTGAGCTCGAACTGAGATCTACAGCGCTGGTAACTAAATACCAGTACCACAAGGGATACCCCGACGAGATGCGGTTGATGATCTGAACATGGTAGCTGGTTAATGCCATGACAGCCAGCAGACCTTGGGGAACCGCCAGTCGAACGAGCATTGACCCCGGGCTCGTTGAGGAGGAGGAAGGGCTTTGTAATGCCCACCAGGTGGATCGGCATAGAATGGCCAACATGGGCGCCGCCAACAGGAAAAGAGGTATATTAGAGACGGTCCAATATCCCAAGAACCCAACATTCCTATCGCAATCAGTAAGAGCGACGGTATTCGGACATGAGTCAAGGCTTACCAGTAATGACTTTGAACCCAGCCGTAGATGCTAGGCAAAGTCCACTCACACCATGGCCGAAGATCGCTCTCGGACACGCAGTACATGCGATAGGCCAGGATTTGAGGAATGACCATCCCAGATCCTACGATGCAGCCACCAACAATGATCACCGCAAGACGAAGAATGGTGTGCAGTGTAGGCCCTTTGGTCAAGATCTTCCAAGCCAAAATTGCCGCATCATAGGCAAATAGGAACCCGCTGAGAACCCCGTTACTGCGGACCATGGTCGCAGCCGCAAATAAAACCGCGGAGGTGAGAACCCGAATATCACGTAGACGTGTTGCCCCATTGCGCTCGGCAATGAGAGACGACGAATAGAGATAAAAGCCAGTGAAGTTGAGAAAGGAGACTATCGACTCTCCATACGGTGCGGACAGAAAAGCGCCCGCAGGAGAAATTATGTGAAGGGCTGCAGATAAGAAGCAAATGAGATGTTGCGTGGCAGTGGCATGACCAAAAATATTGGCTGACAGACGATAGAGCGCTAACACGGACAAGTAATGGGCAACGTGGGAGAGAGCCACCCCCACCATTGCAGTACTAGCGGGTCCAACATCTCCGCCCGAGAGACGAATACCTATTCACGGCATTGGTTAGAATGAGATGCTCAATAGGGATAAAGCAATAGAGGGAATTATGTACCGGAAACAAAAAGAGATAGAAGCTTGGTGTAGCCCCAGCCAAAGGCCCATTCTTGCTCAAACAGATATCCCTTATCAGCAATATCAAGATAGTAGATACTGTCCCATCTGGCAAATTTAAGAGGTCCCGAGAGAGACTCGGACTGGGCAACAATCGATGGATCGGCAGCGTATGAGATCAAGGAGGTGGATGTATCATAGCCTGATCCTGGACAGGCAGCAACGACGATATACAACAAGACCTTCCATGACCAAAAGGCCAATGTCAAACTTCGGATTGGGTTGTCCAATCGTAGTAGTTTGGCAAACAATGGCGGTGGCCTCGTAGGTTGAAGTTGGACTGGTTGAACTGGTTGGACTGGAGCCATGACAGGTGTTCCAGTAACTTTAGCCAAAGGTGATGAAACCTCGGAAGTATTCCTAATTAGGACGAATGGGATCGGAGGTTGACGGTCTAGATGTCGGGATGTTTACCTTGTAATTGTCCCGATTTGCGGTCTTCCGGTCTGCCGAGGTACCCTGTTCCAAAGGGAGGTGAAAGGCTTGGCATAAAATATGCATTGTTAGTCATCCATAGGCCCCTCCAGGGCTGGGCGGGCCCCGGCCTCTGTGGCTCCCGAGGGCCGACATATAAAAAGAAATCAGACCGTTATGGAGTGGGCGATTGTGGGAAATTAACAAAATATCATTGGCTCAGTGGAAGAAAAAAAAAAGTGTTATATCTAAAGGATCGACACCAGATCTGGATGTCTTGGAAAGTTCTATACCCTGTACTATGTTATAGAGAAGTTTGCCAAGGATTACTATTCCCAAGGCGTTGGTCAAGTGAGCTCGGAGATGACCTCGGGACTGTAAGCGGGTAGTTCATCAAACTCTGTTCGGCACATCATTTTGTCCGATTCTATCTATCTATAGGTAAGATATATACAAAATCCCTCTTATAAAAGAAAACTCTGCTTTTGAACGTGATAGTCCCACCTTAGATATGGATACTCTCGTACCACTAGGATATGGGCTCACACGGCAGCAAACCTCGGATTCATTGCCAAGGCTAAAATCCTTGTAGCTTCTTATGAATGATCGTCACGGAATCCGGATGTGTCGGAGACTGACTATGACCGATCCCGCTTACAAGGCATAAAGTCTTTTTGTGCAAAGAAGCTATGGATTTAACACATTAAACTAATAAACAAGTTCAAAACAAGTTCAAAATAATTATCAAATTTGTGCAACGGAAGTCCCACTATAACATTTTTGATTACTATTTTTTTTTTCTTTTTTTTTCTCTCTTACATAGTTCTATAAGGCTGACCGCCCCGTTCATATTCAATCCTTTATTGTTCTTGTAAAACATTCCTTTCAATATTTTCTTCCTCCTTGCTTCTATTTTCTTTTGCAAATTTTTAAAATTGACTTGCATCTTTTGCTTTCCCCACACGTAACTCCGGGGGCTGAACATCTCCCCCGCAGCTGACGCGTTTGAATACGGGCCAATTCATGACTACATCGGATCTGAATGAAATTCCCAAGATTTGGTTCTTCAATACCAATGTGGCTCCACTAGGGTTCAAGAATGCTGTTGAATCTTGGCTTCACAGCGGACGCCGCAGTTTCCCATTCAAATGAACCTAGTAACCAACCAGAACCCCAGCCTTCTACGTGTACTGCTTACTCGCCCACCTTCTTACTATCCGCTTTACCATTGTTGAACTCCTTCTACAGTCCCCGGCTCACTGATGGTACTGATCGTCTGGGGCTTGTGTCCGCTATGGCGATGAGTCCGATTGAGTCGGCCTCGGACTCGGGTGCACCCTCCAAAGAATCAGCTGTTGTCGCCAGGCCCCGGGTCACCCGTTCAACCACAGGTCGGAGGTCTCGACCAAAGACATCATATCAGTTCGCCCATCCTGCCGCTCATGCTCGCCACAAGCGGTTCAGATTTCGTCCAAAGCTCCTCCTGCAGCTACAACAGGTGTCGCAAACCCCTCGGCCGCTGCCAGTGGTCGATATTCTGCCATCGACATCTTACCTGCCACTATTGGCTCGCAAGTTCCCGGCCATCTATCGAACCAGAAACGGATTGGGTCCGTATGACCTGATCGTGGTCTTGAGCGAACAATATGACCGGACAGTGGCCAGCATTCCTGAAAAGCGCGTCAGTTCGGAGGATGAGGACGAAGATCAACGCGAGGTAGTCGCCACGATATGTCAAAAATACCAAGAGGATGCTCGACTGAAAGGGAAAGCGGAGATATGCATGAACTTTGGACCCATCTGGGAGGCTACGCCTCTCCCAAGCGGGACTTACGAGTTTGTTGCTCAGACAGATAACGGTGTGCAAATCGTGCGGTGGGCTCTGCGAAGTGGGAGGAATCGTCGAATGAGTACGCCCACAGGGACACAACCACGCGAGGACGGCAAACGCTTCACTTTCAGCGTCATCGATCCTACCACTCGCCGGCATCCCGTTCTCGCGTCCATGACTCGAAATCAGTTAGAAGTCAACGATGAATATTCCACAGCTGTTTGGTCCTCCGGCACCGGTCCCACGACTCCAAGCTCAGGAATGTCAGTCGTGAGTGATGCCTCGGATGCAGAGACTCCCCTCGATGGAAGCTTGGTCACTCTTGATGATGGAATGCGAACTTTGATTATCATCACCGGCATCTGGGTCGCCTTCCGTGAGGGGTGGTCAGACAACTTTCGCTACGGAGATTCGGTTTCTTCGCCTACAAAGTCGATCACATCTCCGACGGCGGCCAAGAATGAAACCGACTCTTTCCCGACGATGGATGAAGACACCAAACGCTGCTTCTCGATTTCCAATGTCCGCCGTTCCACCACCCCAACCATGGATGGAACGCAATTCGGTAATTTGTCCAAGCGCTCCAACTCCACCGGTGCTGCATTCATGGATCGAGCGAATCGACGATCCGCTTCTGGCCTTAGCAATCGCCTGAACCGACACAGCATGTTCACTGCCTTGGGCGAGAACGGCCGCGATATCGTTGTTTCTCGTCCTCCTTCTCCTCGCCAAATTCCCATTGAGATGGAAGATTCATCTCGAACTACCCAGCCTAAAGCTAAATCTCCTGCAAAAGCCCAGCCAGAAAGAGACATCAAATCAAAACCGGGGCCAGATCGAGATAGTGCCCCGAATTACTGCATCACACAGCCTAGCAGCGGCAAGCAGAAGCTGGACTCTCCACTCCCCGAACCTGTCGACTCAACCCCAAAAGGCAAAATTCGCCACCGCATCAGCACTTTCTTCGGCATTTTCCACCGAAAACACGATACTCATTGACCTTTTGATTCCCCCTGTACAACCCTGCATCATGTCCGTGGCTAGTCCACGTGTAAGCATCACATCACTTTTGAGTCCCATTGCATCCTAGCATACAAGTTGGGCGTTCATACATTGCACTGCGATTCGTCCGGTACGAATCCCTTGCCAATGTTCTATTTTTTCTCTCCTCTCTGTCTCATTCCAACTAGCATATTGCATCTTTTGCATTTGCGCGTCCTTCCAGTTTTCTCTTTTCATACCTATTTCTTCTCACTATCTCTTCATCTTCATGTCCTGGCGGCTCAAACTCAAAATGTGTATGCTTGTATCTCATTCATGTACATTGCTATCCATATATCCATCACGCTACCTATGAATAAATACCCCATCACCTACAGTCAATTCCACAAGCCTTCCACTCTATCAAGTATTCTGCAGATTCAGAATATTTCATTAATCTCATTAGAGCAATATATATTACGCACGTTTATCTCAAGCAGTGAATGAACCCATCCCAAGCTTCAAGCTGCACCCAAAATCCATCGCCCCTTAACAACCTAAAACAGCGCAGTCTTATTAACCGGAGCAGCCGTATAAAGCTGCTGTCCATCCTTCTTAAACCCAACAATAGCCCTCTGCCCCTCAATCCCAATAACCCATTGCGCAAACTGATCCGCCATCCTCTCATTTCTCGCCCCACGCCCAACAAGCATATGAGCTGGATTAAGCAACTGATCCTCCGGCGCATCCGTCGCAGCCTTATAAACAGTCGTCCGGTTCCGTAACCCAGCATCAATAGACAAGAACGTCCCCCGATCCGTAATAGTATACTCATCCAACAAAATCGCCGCCGTCAGCGCCTGGATCGGATACGCAATGTACTGGTGGTACCATGTTGAGTACGCCGTCGCCCAAGGGACCTGTCCGATCTCGATCCACAGCTGCGAGTCCTTGATGTTTGTGGCGGACTTGTCGTAGCGCGAGAGGAAGCGCACGGGTGGCGAGGACGTGCCGGCTTCCGCGGCTGAAAAGATTTGTGAGAACATTGTTGTGATGTCGGCGGTGTTGGATAGCTTGGCAGGGTTCGAGGGCGGGCCGGTTAGGAGGAAATGGTCCCGCCAGGCGTACCAGGCTGGGGACTTGGCGATGGCTTGGGTTATGGCTATTTGCTCGGCAGCGGGGGCGTAGGTTATGCCGAGGTCGACGGTATTAGATTTGAGGTAATTAATTGATTCGGTTGTATCGCTTTTGTACCAGGCTATTTTGAACGGAGCTGAGCCGTTTTTGACACTTGATTTGATGAAGGCGTCCGCGAGAACTGTCATGTCTGTTAGTTTGTTTATGTCAGGACTTGTTAGCGGGTTGCTACTTTGAGGTAGCTGTAGGTATGTGTGACGCGATGCAGAATTGGTCTCGCTTGGTTGGACGTACCGCCAATCAGTCCGCTTTGTCCGGCACCACCGTTACCGATGCGGAGCAGGACTTCGCTGGATAAGTTGTAGCCACCGCTGTAGACAGCAGCAGGGTCAACGGCGTAGACGGGGGTGGCCAGGGCCACGCCCTGGATCAGGGCAATGAAGGAACGCATGGTAACGGAGAATGGGCAGGGGTACGTATATTAATATCTAAGGGACGGTGGGGGAAATTCGCTTTTAGAAAAAGACGAGCATTAGGTCACCATGAGGGTATGTAAGGTCTGTTCGCTTGGGATTTGTAGCAGGCCATATTGGTTGCGGGCCAACCTATCCTCTCGCTGAATGAAACCGGAAATCCCGGGGTAGAGTCCATCTGCATCTCCCAGGTCATGAGCTAGAGATGGGGGGGGGGGGGGGGGTCATCCTGTGTTGGGTGCTGATCTACACCCTTGTCTGCGATTTCGATCGAATTGGCGTTCGTCAAGCCAATAGCGTGCGAGATAATCGCAATTGCATTGCGCTTGTCCATGAATGTGATGAAGATCGGTGTTTGCCAAGGTGATGGCGGAATTATGAGATGTATACTTCGTATTCTGTAGAGAGTGATTTGTCGAGACTGCATCCGTGGCTGAACTATAACGGACTGGCGGAATTATCGAGTAAATGGAACTTTGGAGAAGTGCTGGGATATCAGTTCAACGGGTGCATACTTTCGAAATAAGCAAAATACTACCTATTACAGAGAAGATCTTCCGGGCTGGATCTGACATGTATAGTACGGAGTACATACACACTCGTATATAGATGAAAACTCTAAGGGACTAGGAAACTTAGTTGTATATTGCCTCGTTAGACTATGTACTATGTAACTGCGTACTATTCACAGCCCTTACAAAGTTTCATAGGCACTTCTTACCGCTCAAGAGCAGTAACAGCCTTAGGAACATAAGGCTCCTCCAGATACTTAATCTCCTCCGCGGACAGCTGGACCTTAATAGCAGCAACAGCCTCATCAATCCGCTCAACACTATGCAGTCCAAGAATCGGGTTTTCGCCAGGGTGAGTCAAAGACCAAGCGATAGCAATCTGAGCCATGCTCACACCCTTCTTCTTAGCAAGTTCCTCAACCCGGTCGATGATAGCCTTATCAGCCTCCGACTCGCGACTACGGACAAACATCTTCAGCGCGCCATCGCTTTTCTCACGCACTGTCTCGCGCGAGCCCCAGGGTCGCGCCAGCGCGCCACGGGCAATCGGTGACCAGGGGATAATGCCGACTCCAGCGTCTTGGCAGTAGGGGATCATCTCGCGCTCTTCTTCGCGGAAGAGAAGGTTGTGGAAGTTTTGCATGCAGATAAATTTGTGCCAACCGTTGCGCTCAGCGATGTTTTGCAGGGATTGGAATTCCCAGGTCGCCATCTGGTCATGGGTTAGTGTGGAGAAATGGATGTTGTGAAGAAAGGAAAGAAAAGAAAGGGGAATAGGGAAGGAAGGACGGACATACCGAACTAGCACCAATGTACCGCACCTTCCCGCTCTCGACAACGTCGTTCAGCGCCTTCATGATCTCCTCGCGAGGAGTATCCCGGTCTAGACGATGGATCTGCAGCACATCGATGTATGTGCCGAGACGTTCCACACTGGCATCGACGGCATCAAAGATATGCTTGCGCGACAGGCCGGTGCGGTTGACAAAGGGCCCGTCATTTCTGGCAGATGCGGCGATGGGTGGGAATTTGCCCTCGTCGTCGACGCCGAAGAAACATTTGGTCAGGATTACAACGCGGTTGCGAGGGATGTTGTACTTCTTCAGGGCTTTTCCGACGACTTCCTCGGATTTGCCGTGGGAGTAGACATCCGCCTACACATTTAAATGTTAGTGGCTTATTCGGTGACTTTCTAGACAATATTGCGATGTCTTCATTTACCGTGTCCCAAGTGTTGATGCCCTGCTTGTAGGCATGCTCAATCAGAGGCAGTGAGTCTTCCTCGTCCAGGACCCAGTCTTGCCATTGCTTGCTGCCATAGCCCATTGTCCCAAGGATAATCTTGGAGATCTTTAGACCCGAATTTCCAAGGCTGTTTATTTGGTATCAGTATCTTATTCGAGTGGAATGTGTCACGGGGAACCTGTACCGGACATATTCCATCTGATTGTCGGCCATTGTGAGATTTGCTTATTTATGTGAGCTCTAGCAAAGATAAAAGTATTAGTTACAATAATTTATGTATCTGATTCGCAACATGTCAAATCATAAAACCCTGAGGGGAACTTACCAAGTGTGTCCAATTATTGAAACAGGTAAAGAAACAGAAACGATCTTGAAATTCTTTAGATGAGTCAAATGGTGTCATTAATAATCGTGAATCTGCCGAAAACTACAAGCGTGGGGAACCTATAGCCGATGAATTACCGCGATGATCCCCCGTTGATCCACCTTAATGTTAACCAGCCCAGACTGATCGATAAATGATATACAATTTCATCTAGTGTAGCCTTATAATAATACAGAAACGTAGCACGAGCTCGGGTGGTATTAATTGTTGAACTATGTCTACAATATAGGTACATTCGGTACATAGATCGCTTAACCCGAAACACATTGGATTTCTTACAAGCTAGCTATGCAGAGTAACATTCCTCAATCTTTGATTGGAGTTTGAACAGGATACAGCCATGCACCCAGCGACTGCAAGAAATGACTTGTCACACGATGCAACACGCTGCTTGGTGGAGCAAGGTCTTCAGAAGACGATTCCACACTCCTTTCGAGCTTTTGAACATCAGTGGGGGGAATAACCCAGGGGAAACGATTGGGCATGAATCCATCCATAGTCACACCATTGCCGAAACTTGCATATTTCTCATCGGGGTTCTCGTAGACTAGATCGAAGTCTTCCCAGCGGACAATTTCGGTTGCCGCATAGTAGTGGAGGACAGTGCCGGGCCAGGGAACAACCACCTTTCCATTGTCGTTCTTGTCTGTACCATCAAGGATAAGTCAGTACGCAAAGCTAGGAGAGGTAGAGATTTACTTACACCATGATTTGCATGCTCCTGACCAGACCATGTGAGGCATTCTCGACTGAACCCATTGGTTAAATGCACGTTGAGCCCGCTGGGTCACAGATACGGATCGCAATTTGTCAGTCTGGAGTCGGGATAAGATTCGAATCATATAGTCGCTGGCTCTCGCGATGCCGGGGACTGCGGATCCGTTCACAGGGCAGATCGGAGGGTTGAAGACTGTCCACGATACACGCCGGTTAGAACAATGATCAACAAAAAGCATTCAAGTCCTTACCAAAGAAGTTTGGGAACTCAGAAACCATCGCAGCCATATAACTCTCACAAGGTCCCTCGCGATCCCATTCTGCACTCAGCGATCGTCCAGCTCGGCCAATGACTGGGAACCGTGGTTGATATGGCTCGAATCCGGTGGCATATACCAATATGTCACACTCGTACTCCCCTCCCGATTCAGTGATAAGGCTACCCTCGGTCAGTCTACTGATTGAGTCATGCACGTACCCGGCATTGGGCTTCTGCAACGCATCCAGATAGTGACCACCAGGCGTGAAGCGACGACAGCCAGCTTCGAATTCTGGCAGGAGTGCATTCAAAAGTCCCGGACTTGTGATCTTGGACTTCATGAATGAATGTGCCAATGCTGTAAAATTGGCTTGCGACTGGGTCCCTTTCCAGAGTCCCGTGAAACTCCCGGCAAGTCTCCGCTCTAATGCAACGCAAAAGTCATAATAGCGCATAGGGGAAGCCTGTAGAGCTAGTTTCTGTTCGGTAGAGTCTAGATACGGATCAGCACTGCTGTCGCTAACCCGTTTCTGTTTGTGGTAAGGTGAGACACTCACATTCGCGCTGGATGGTACCATCTTCAGCCGTTGCATGTGGGAGGATCCACGTTGGGCCTCGAGCAATGTTGGTTATTTTCGAAACAACTTGAGAGCCCAGCCTGGTTAGCGTGGCATGTCTTCCGGGTGGCTTTGCGACTCACCTGGCTGCAAAGCTGCCACGCACTGAATGGCACTTGCACCATTCCCAATCACAATTACCCGCTTATCCTTGACAGTCATATCAGCTGGCCAGTTTGCAGTGTGTACTTGAGTTCCTCGGAAGGCTTTCTGGCCGGCAATCTTGGGGAACTTGTAGTTGTTCAACCGGCCGACAGCATAGACAAAGACATCGGCAAAGATAGTCTTTTCCTCACTAGAAGCCACGTCTTGGAGCACAACTTTCCATTTTGCGGACTCTTCGTTCCATTCAGCCAAGACACATTTGGTGTTGAAGGTCATGAAGCGGCGGAGATTATGACTGTCGGCCACATCCTCCAAGTATTGGTGAATCTCGGGAGCTGGGGGATAAAGTGATGACCATGATGGGTTTGGCGCCCAATTGAACTGGTAGGTGTGGGAAGGTACATCACATGTGCATCTATAACCCTTAGCAACCCAATGTATCTGATAAGATGGGAAATACATACCCGGGATACCGATTTTCATACCATGTACCCCCTAGAGAAGGATTCCTGTCGTAGATTTCGAGATCGACATTTGATAATGATGTGCTCGCATCGTGTGCGAATTGAATACCCGAAATACTACGATCTGTCAGATGTTGGTCTTCGCTCGAGTTTAGTATGCACGTACCCGGCACCGATAACCACAATCTTCAACGGACGTGCCACAAAGGCACTTGGTATGAGATCCATTGCAGGTGATGTGGAAGAAGGATGCAGGGAAAAAAAGAAGATCTCCTGGGTTGATCTCCAGCTGAAAAGAACTGGGGAGACAGGTCATATATGATAACGTGTCTCGTCTTCCGCAGAGTAACACGTGCTTCCTAGAGAAATGGTCAAAGAGCAGAGATGAAGATTTTCTTTGTTTATATATTCAAACTCAAGTAGTCTACCCAACGTTTCCTAAGTGGTCTACTCAACATTTTCAGGATATTCCTCGCTCGACGGTGAAACGGAAGACAAAGGGAGTGGAAAGCTTCCAACGTTTCTATACAGGTAGCTATATCCCAGCGTGATTGGTGAAGCACCAGGCCCCAAATTGGGACTAGCTGACGATTGTGGCAAAGCCCTATGTAAGATGATCACGTCTTACAAATCGACTTGATAGCTGAATGGGGAAGTCGGTAGGCTACCGAGTCCCGGGGCACCCGCCACCCGCATATCAAAGTGATTTACTTAACCCCGATGTACCTATGGCAATGCTGAGTATACAATATTCAAGTCCTAACACGCAGTACCATCCAAATACTCTACCTAGTTATAGATCCCAAGTTACTTATTGAGAAATTAAGTATATTTTTTGAATAACCAAAGTTTTTAATTGAGAAAAAGCAAAAACGGGCTATTGAAAAAGAAAACATAGGTTCGCCAAGAGAAAAGTCTAGAAGGAAAACGTCAAATGTGCATGAAAGGATTGCTAGAATATTATCTCCGAACTGGATAGAAATGGAAATGACTTGCGCGATGTCCATGCTAATATCGAAGGGCTTAGCCAATAGAGTAAAACTGCGTGCCGAAAATAGAGGCTATTAAATTGACTGTAAAATGTAAACAAAAGATTAGAACTACAGATGGCTCATATCAAGAGAGGTTAGAAGAGAACGTGTAGTAGCAGATAGAAGCACAAAACATTATCTCAAGATGTCTCATTCCATTCTCGTTTCTACTTGATCTCTTACCATCCCTCCAGCCATCTCTACCATAGTTGAGGCTTTCAAAATTATATTCTCTTCATCTCTCTTCCCCCTCGTACTCAATAAGTTGAACCCTGGATTAAGGTACAAGTGTGATGTTATTCATCCATATGAGGAGATCCAGCTATTTGTAGTTGCAGCAGCTCATCTCCCTGCTGCCTAGCGGAGTGTCTGCCTAACAGGCAGCCACTCCTATAGATCTATATACATCACGTGACCTGGGATCCAACTCTCCCCCTGTGCCAAGGACCCGAAGGGGCCGAGGCACCTCAAGGATCCCAGAATTTGATCTGGCAGTGTCTGATCTTTCTTTGAACGAAATTGCAGACTCAAAACCTCCCCCTGAATGGAGATTCAGACGTTCCACAAGGTCTTCGTGTGTAGACCTCGGTAAAGCTTTGGTGAAAACATCTGCTAAGTTATCCTTTGTATTGACGCGCTGGGTATCAATAAGACCTTCCTCCACCTTCTCCCGAATGAAGTTGTGCTTGACGTCAATGTGTTTGGCTCTGCTGTGAAACTCTGGATTCCTGGTGAGCTTCAAGGCTGCGTTATTGTCGATATAAAGGGGAACTGTGTCAATATATACTCCAGGGATGCGGAGGTCATTGATAAAGTTGCGAATCCACATAGCTTCCTTCGCAGCCTCGGCGCATGCAATGTACTCTGCATCCATGGTTGATGTAGCCACTGTTTTTTGTCTCTGGGATGACCACGATATGGGCCCTCCAGCAAGCGTGAACACCCATCCAGTTGTTGACTTGCGTGAGTCCTCACATCCAGCAAAGTCGCTGTCGACGAAACCCCTCAGCTGGAGACCGTGTTTGTCTGAATAGACAATTCCCTTCCTCGCGTCGCTCTTCAAATATGCAAAAATGCGATCCACAGCATCCATATGAGCCCGGTTTGGGTTGGATGCGTATCGAGCTACATATCCGGTAGCAAAAGCAATGTCCGGTCTTGTCTGATTGCTGCTAAAATTGAGCGACCCGACCTTCGACTGATATTCTTTGCGGAATTTGGTGTTGGCAACGTAGTCGCCCTGTTTCGCTAGCTTGATCTTCGTGTCCAGGGGAGTCTTGGCAGGCGCGGCATCTTTGAAGCCATACTTGTTGACCATTTGGTCGATATATTGTTTCTGATGGAGATGAATCTCTCCAGGCTTCTGCTCTATGTGCATTCCTAGATACCAGGAGCACTCCCCCTCGTCGGATATTGGAAATTCCTTCGAAAGTTGACCCTTGAAATCAAGGATTGCCTGAAGGCCTCTACCCATCACGTTTATGTCGTCCACGTGTACTTCGAGTATGAGTCTGGTTCTGTCGTTGATAAACACACATGGGTCGTAGGCTGACATACGCCAGCCCCAACCAACAAGAGTGTCCCGGAGCTTTTGATACCACGCGCGAGGAGACTGCTTCAATCCGTAAAGGGCCTTGATAAGAAGTAAGCAATGCCCACGAGGTAACTGTACATCCGCCGGGGCTTTCATGTAGACCGGCTTGTCTAAATCACTGTTCAGGAACGCCGTCTTCACATCCCCTTGGTGGACATGCCAATGGCAAATCGCCGCCAACGCGAGCAAGATGCGGGTCGAAGCCGACTTGACCACGGACGCGAACGTCTCTTCATAGTCTATGCCTTCTTCCTGTTGGAAGCCCCTTGCTACTAGGCGAGCTTTGCGCCTGGCGACTTCGCCGTCCGGTCCATACTTGTCGGTAGTGACCCATCGTGAAGTAACCGGTTTGATCCCTCCTTGGAGTGGAACGACCTTCCACGTGCCTTTTTCTTTGTGGGAATTTAATTCTTCCACCTTTGCTTCAAGGTATTTTCCATTAGCAGTGCCATTGTTCTTCAGTTGGAGAGCTGGTTGCGGAAGTTCATTGTACGCCGATAGACTGAATTTGAAGCCCTTGTAGTTATTCTTGGCCGCCGCGTGTCGGCCATGGTTCTCGTCGTCATGTGGGTCAGAGTCGATTGTCTCTTCCACAATAGATTGATCAGTTCTTTTCTTCTCTGGGGCTTTGGTATACAATGCATCTCTCAAAGATCTCAGCTCATTGGAGACTTTAAGCTTCCTCCGACCAGTGTAGCTCTGGTAATCCTCCCGCAGGTTCGGCTCGCTCAAGGCTTTCGCTTCGAATGGTCGAGTTGCCCACGACTCGTATGTGCCATCAGATCGTCGATAGTTGCAACTAGCAACGTTGCTGTTGCTTTGCGCTTTGATACATGGGTAACAGGGTTGTTCCCCATCGCAGTTCAATTTCCTTCTTCGGCAGCGCACGCACTCCTCATCAGACAGATCTCCTTCCTGAAGAGGGCCCACTGAGGAGAAACCAGTTGGAAGCGGAGAATCAGGTACGCGATAGATTCTGGTTAACAGACCATCCTGGACTTCGTAGCTGCACGTTGTCCTTCCATGGATGCATGCCTTACAAGGTCGTCCGCGGTCACAGTTTTTTCCACTCCTGGTTCCATTTCTGCACTGATCACAAGGAGGTAAATCATCCACACCTTGCGGCCGACATGCTAAGCGTTGAAGAAGGGTGTTGCACTTGTTGCACGGAATCTTCCCATCGCATGTCATTATCTTTGCTGCGCACCGGTAGCATTTCTGATCGCGAGGAACTGGTACGAATCCGAGCTTTTTATGCCTTTCCTCCTTTTCCGCCTGTCTTTTCTTCTGCCGTGCTGTTGACCTTTTGACCCCATCCAGGTTCCAATTGCAATTGCGATTGGCTTTTTGACATGCTTCGCATTTTGGATTGCTTGGGTCAATGAGAAAACAAGTACGGTTCGTCTGGAAGCATCTTCTGCATGGCTGGTCCTGTTGTACCCTTCCAATCTCTTTACGCCTGTGGCGGTTCTCAGGAAGTATTAGGCGTTTTGTTTCCTTCGACTGTGACCTGCAGCCTTGGTTGTCTTTCCTGCAGATCGAACAAGGCATTCCATTCTCGGCAGAGTCGCACCTTCTCCCGGTTCGGAAACAACGGTCGCATTTATCATCATCAGGCAAAAAGTTCTTCATGTGGCCACCGCCACGGTTTGCGACGAACTGCCAGTAAGCCTGTGAAACCTTCCCGTCTTCTGAGTGATACCAAGAATCGTCGTTTAAGTCCGACAAATCTGAGTCCGAGTGCTCTAAATTGATGTCACATTGTCCGTGAGTAGCTCGGCGGCTTTTCCTTGGCGCTACTATAGGATCATCGGGAAACTTGCGTTTGGCCATGCCGGCGTGCTTGGATTGATTGAAATACTTGGACACATTGTTTAGTCCCAAGTCTCCGTTGTCGGTATCGTCTTCATCATCGGCGTCTTCGACCTCATCTTGTGACTCGTGTGCCGCTTCGGAAACATGATGCTCTTGGTCGGCAATTTCCTCATCCGAGGAGATTACAGTGTGTTGATCATGGCTTGATTCACCGTCGTCATAGTCCTTGTCCGAATCACTTGAAGATTCTGACCCATCTTCCGAGTGATTGTTGTCCGTAAATGCAACATCTGGGGTGGGGATCCTATCTTCCAAACAGGGTGCATCATGCGGATCGCGCAGCCCTTCACCGTCCTCGATCCTTGCAACGCCGATCCGGTAGACCTTGTGTTTCTCCGGAGAATAGATATGGTACATTGCCTCACTCTCGCATCCGACAAAGTAGCCCAGCCAGCCACGAGGGTTATGTAACTTTGTCATCTCAGCCGTGTGTCTCAGCTCTTGCGGATACGTGACATATGCTCGACTGCCCCAAATTCTCTCTCTTGTTAGACTTGGTTTCATTCCCCGCAAGGCTTCGTATGGTGTTTTTGCATCCTTCTTGCGTAGTGCACGCGCTGGAGTTCGATTTTTCAGCCAGACAGCATGCTGTATGGCTTCGGGCCAGAGGTTCTCGGGTATCTTGGAAATTCGTAAGAGCTCGTTGCCCTTTTCGGAAATAATCTTGGAGACTTGTCCGGAGATGGAAGTTTCTTGAACCATAGGTGCGGCCTTTTCACGAATTGTACGGTTTGTCCTCTCAGCAACACCATTCTGATAATGGGCGTATGGTTCGATGGGTTCTCGCGCGATGGAATGGGAGTTGCACCATTTGCCAATTGGTCCCCTTTCAAATTCGTTGTCAAAGCGACAGCACCGGATGGTAATATTGAAAACCTTCTGGATCAATTTGACCAGCGACTTGAAGACTTCAAAGAGCTGATACTTTTTATCGAAACGTGCGCTCCATGTATATCGCGTACAGTCGTCGGTAATAAACAAGAAGTACCTAGTTCCATCAAATCCTTCGATTGGGTATGGTCCCCACACATCCATATGAACCATCGCTCCCGGTTGTTGAGCATGGCGCGTGGCAGGATCGCGTGGAATTCTGACCAGTGCCCGTGTCGTCGCACATACGGGACAAACGGCTTTAAGCTTGGCTTTGATCTGCTTCTCGGTGATCTCCATCCCCGTTGAGCTTCGCAGCAGATTTAGCATGCTTTGAAAGCCTAGGTGCCCCAACCTTCGATGCCATTTCCATACAGGGTCATCGAAATCCACTGTGGCTGCGATGACACCACTTGTTATGTCATCATTGGGAGGTTTTGTGGCGTCAAGGTGATACAGACCATTGCCGAAAGCGGCGTGTCCGATGGCATGTCCGGCATCATTCATCCATGTCATATATTGCTTATTGTAGATGCCGGTTAAATTTGCTTTTCGGGTGAACATCCCTCCAGAAAATAGGTTGCATTTGCCTCGAGGAGCATAGGCAACTTCTGAAAGTGATACTTTCACCGGAACCCCATCAGGGCTTTTTAGAAGAAGATTGACAACTCCCATTCCTTCTATTTCAAGGCTAGTGGACCCGTCTGCGGTGCTGATTTTTAGATTGGATGTGCGGAAAGTATCTTTCTTAAACCATTTCATGTCATTAACGATATGCATGTTCGCTCCGGTGTCAGCTAGCCATGTGTCTGTTGTACAGAAACTGCCTGCCAAGAAAGCCCCCAACACAGGTTTAGAGAAATCCAACGTTGCGGACACTGGGTCCCCCATATCAACTCCCCCTGATCCCCGCAACTTGATGCAAGACATAGCTCTATGCATCTGTGGCGAAGGGTCAGCTGGTTTCGCATGAGTTGAAAGGGAGGGACCCGTACCTAGAGCATCACTCCGGATATAGGTGTCTTTGGAATCGATGAGGTCCATTTCTGCAACACCACCCATGCCATTGGGGACAACGGCCCTGTTGGTGGTGTTGGTGAACTTTTCTTTGAGAGATCGTGGAATTTTCTCGGGATTCTTAACCCAGCAATGTTCTTCGGTATGGCCAGTCTTGCCACATCCAGGATGGGTGCACTTGAGGTGATTTCTGTCCTCCCGTCTCGGCCTGTAACGGGTAGAATTGTCCATGTTCATGGTGCTGTTGTTGCTCGCATCTCTCTTGGCCTTGTCCCTGGCCTTTCTCTCTTCTTTCATTTGAAGCTGGTGCATTTCTTCAACATGCATGCGTTCAAAAAGATAGTCCAGATCAGGAGAATCGTCAGGTTTAATCGACCTAACCCAGTCATACTTCTCTTTGAAGCTGCGGTAGTTAGGAGGAAGACCATGAAGAAGAGCGGTTGCAAACATGTCGTCAGTCATATCATATTTGACTGTCTTCAGATCAGCTTTGATCTGGCGGATTTGATTGGTGTAGTCGGTCACGGATGAACAGTGATCCAGCTTGAGGTCGTTCAATCGATTCAACAGGATGTCGCGCGCACGTTCATTTGTGACCGCGTATCGCTTCTTGATAAAATCATAAGCTTCTTTGGCGTCCGCGCAATCCTCGATCTCGATTTTAATGCCGTCGGAAATCCAAGCGTCAAGCAATCTGTTTGCAAGCTTCATCTTTTCCTTTGCATTCTTGTGTTCGTTGTGATCGATCTGCCATCGGAGTGTGTTGTTGGTCGTCAACACAACTGTCTGGCCGTCTTCCGTCTCGTTTTCGTCATCGGTCGTCGGGCTTAAACTTTTCTTGATCCGAGTAGACCGACGAGTTTCGGTGTCAAGGACCTTCACAAAGTATTCGTCTTTGTTGGGCTTGGGAGGAACGACTTCTTCGCCTGTGAGAAACTCAAGCACATCATTTGCTCTGGCTGCTCGTTCAAACTCGCGTTTCCAACTGATGAAGTTGGTTTTGCCTTTCAGTTGGCGATCTGGTTTGACTTCATCCATCTTGGATTACGTCTTGTCTGGTGCCCTGAATTGGGCGTCTGGGGTCTGGGGTCCGGGGTCTTGATCACTGATCACTTGTGTCCATCCAAAGGCTTGTCTAGAAAAGAGAGGCTCATAACCAGTTGAACCCTGGATTAAGGTACAAGTGTGATGTTATTCATCCATATGAGGAGATCCAGCTATTTGTAGTTGCAGCAGCTCATCTCCCTGCTGCCTAGCGGAGTGTCTGCCTAACAGGCAGCCACTCCTATAGATCTATATACATCACGTGACCTGGGATCCAACTCAATACCCAACATGCTGATTACCAATTTTTTCTGCAGTATGTCATCACGCTCCATGCCAACAAAAAGATCTAACAAAGCCAGACGCCATCCTCAACCCCGAATGGGACCCAATCGAGTTCGATCCCGACGGAGAACAAATCGAAATCTTGCGCCAGCCCATCGAGTGCATTCGAGCCATATGCCTGAGACCCCGCAGACTGAATAGTTCAAACAGGTGGACCTTTTTTCTGTCCACGTCCGAGGAAAACAAGACGGCGATAAGGCTTCATTGTCAACCAACCTACGATCGTGAAACCACTGTCCTTGAAAATGGGTCTAAAGCCAGTATTGTATTTCAAAAAACAGCAACCCTGGTCCCATCCAATGGGCAATTGACCTTCATTTTGAGCGTGAACCCCGGATTCACGGTGAAGAATATCCACGAGATCATCGTTGCGAACAACCGACACAAATACGAGATTGATAACGATGGCTGGTATGTTCGAACCTGGATTTATGATCAAATTGATCTCTTCAACTAACATGGTATCTTCGCCGACCAGGATGAGGTCGCATTAGTGAATGATGGAATCCAGAAAAGATGGCCGGGGGAGTTTCCCGACCCGCTCCAGACGGGAACTTACTATGGGTGAAATCAGACAGGGATCACACAGGGATTAGACGGGGACCAGACGGGCTTCATACGGGGACCAAGCAGGGGTGCTTCTTTCTTTCATGCAGCTCTTGGTGATCCGGTCTTTGATCGAGTTTACTGTGGTACACGACTATTTTTGTTCTTTTTTCTTTTTTTTTCTAGCTGTTCAAATAGAGTTTTTCTACATTTTCCGGCTGTCTATTCACTGTTACTGTGCCAGCACAGGTTATAGTCCGTAATATGATTATTCTACCTATACATCTAGACAAACCTTGGAAATACCTGCAAAGATATCTCAAAAAGACTACTAGAAAGCCTACCAAGGCCATTAAAGCAGTCGCCTATTCTTCTTTCTCTTTCCTTTGGTTTGTTAGTGCTAGTTTTTGAGCACTACCAGTTTTCAGAGGTCCCGAACATGAGGATCTTTAGGCAGACATAAAACATAAAAGGAGAGCGTTTCAGCTTTGAGTTTAGCATCAGGAGCATTTGAACCAATTAGCCTTGATAAGTTTTTCTCTTTCACCTGCCCCGTCTTCCGCTTCCCCGGGTGTCCTAGCTCTCTTTATTCACGTTGTACATCCTCATTTTTGGTGTATACTCCATGGTCACGTGTGTCTTATCCTTAAATCATTACGTCATATCTTGGAACTCGAAACGGCCAAATTAAAGCGAATACGACACTCTACAGGCCTTAGCCATGGAAAACACACAGGTCGCGATCCGATCTCGAAAGCCTCATCATAAATCTCGCTCAGGGTGCAGAAATTGTAAAAGACGGCGAATAAAAGTGAGTGCTTTCCAACCCGTCCCTGAGTCGGGTTATCGTCTTTCACAAGCTACTCCTGCTACCATTGAAAAGAGATATATAGAGAAGAGTACTCTCCAGCCATTCAAATTGTTTTGAACGGCGACTAGGCTGGATAGAGAGTGAAATTTATGATCGAACCCCACTAATAATCTACAGTGTGATGAAAAGAAACCAGCATGCTCCAAATGCATCCATCATGCTATTGAGTGCGACTTCGTCTCGACATCAGCTATATCATCAATTTCATCCTCTTCAGCACCATCCCCATCCAGACCTTCAAAACAGCAATTTCGATTCAAGCCTTCTGAATACCAATCTGGGGAATGCAAGCCCAAACATGCAACAGGCCAGCCATCTTCGCAGACAGTCTCGACGGAAGTCCACCACAAAAGCGCCAGCGCCTTATCACAGAGTCAGGATACCTTGTCATTTGCGGACCTACAACTCTTCCACCACTTTGTCACAGAGACATACCGCACTTTAACAGACGAAACAACTGACCACAATCGCGTTTGGCAAACTCACCTTCCGCAATGGGGATTCTCCTCGCCGTCTATCTTCCACCTCATATTATCGCTGGCAGCCTTGCATCTGGGCTATCTCCACCCCGAGGTACGAGACCAGTATGTGATGCAGGCAGATGACCACTTCACGTTTGGCATTCGATCTGTGTCTGCTATTCTATCGAGTCTGGACTCGGGTAACTGTCAGTCGATCTACATGTCGACAGTGTTGATATGTTTCGTCTATTTTGCACACGGTCCAAAACCCGGTGAATACCTTGTGTTCAGTGAGACGGGGAAGGCTGAATGGCTCGTTCTTATGAGAGGAGTGAGATCGATTTTGATGTCTAGCCATGACAAAATCTTTACCGGAATCTTACAGATTCAACCGGATCCTGCAATTCGGGGCGTCAGCCCGTTGTTACAAGATGAGCTCCAGGAACATCAGTCTCATATTAAAAAAATTCAACATTTTATCGAAACGCAAACCGGCGGGAGTTCCATGGGTCAGATCGACGTCGATGCACTTGAAAACCTGCTCGAAATGTTTGAGAAAGCATATCAGTGCCGAAGCGCTGGGAAGGATGGTGTTGTCTTGATGCCCTTTGTCGTTGGATGGATATATAGACGTCCGGAGGAGTTTATCGGTCTTCTGGAGGAGAAGGAGCCACTCTCATTGATTATCCTTACTTATTGGTGTATTCTTTTGAAGTTCATGAGATCCTCATGGCTTATGATCGCTTGGGATCGGCATGTCATCACAGGAATTCGGGAGTCTCTAGGACTGGAATTTCACCAATGGATTGAGTGGCCTGTGAGTGTGATTTGCGATTGACCTAAATAGACAGAGAAATAAAAACAAGAAGCGTGACCTGGAATGCGAAAGCAAATCATCGTCGCAGTCACATAGTATTCCGAAGCATATACTTCAGTCATCTTGATATGGTTTCGTGTCACAGATGTTATTTCATGATCGGCCTGATATCGAAGAAGTCAACTCGTGCTCTTGGTCCAACCCACTAACCCCCTTTTGGTCTAGTACGTGTTCAGCAACAGCGCGCTTATTCTTTCGGCCTTTTCCAGCATGTCTCAGAGCGAAACCTCACTTACAAAAGACCTTTGACAATGCCATTTTGACTTGTAACGCTTGGGATATATGTGCTAACTGGAGATGCTATGGAGGTATTCGATCCAAAGCCATCCGATCTCTACGATGTAGTAAAAATAGCATCGGAGTTTTTCAATCGCTTCACATGCGTCCCACGGGTGCGCCTATCGGCGATAAATGAGGATACATATCGCTGATCGACAAATACTATGTGTTGTACTCCGTACATACGGAGTACAAAGTACATCGACATCGGCTAGCGGTAAACAGAGGTAACTCAAGGGGGGCTGTGCGTTAGACCCTCAATATCGCTTTCTCATCTTCTCCTTTTTTTCGCCGTGCCTTTTCATTGGTGAATAGTCTCCAGCCGTGAGGACGGGTGAAGTGGATGATCTTTCCTAATCTGGGCCCGAGGTATCAAGTCAAATTCAGTACTCCGTAACTAGGGCTAGGCCTAGTTAATAGTTTGAGTTAAGCAATATGATATCGAAGGATACATACTCTATCGACGCCAATTTACACCGTAGAGAGTTCTTTATTGTTTCTACTCGGGTTTTTCTCGGTGCGGGATTTTGGGCGATCTCAATCACGGCAATCCCACTGATGCCCGGAATAGGCTTTGTTCCCCGAGTACCCCGAGATCGCCAAATTCCAGAGCTGTCGTGCATGTCATCCATGTTTTATTTTGGGGAATTCCGGAAGCCTTTGAACCATGGATCAATTGCAGTCGGCCTTGGTCTGGACTCTGACCTTTGCAGGTTCCAAGGTTGATAGTTGAAATTTGGTTCTATGCTCAAAAGTGTCCAACATGCATATCTATATCTATACTATGTACCGAGTATAACATGTACACTCTATGCAATCACCTTCTGATCCACAGTAGGGTAATCTGTATAATGGAAGGTCTTGTCCTCAAATGGTCCATAAAACCGAGTTCGGTCATATGGAGCCATGGGGATCTTTTCCTTCAGTCTGTGCACCAGATCTGGGTTGCTGGTAAAGTATCGGCCATACAACAGAGCATCGTATTTACCCGATTCCACTACTCCCCAGGAGTTTTGGTCGTCCCACCCACCAGCGGAGAAGAACGGAGTGGAACCAAATATCTGGCGGAAACGATCAAGGGTCACATCCAACAGACCCCAGCTCTCGAGGAACTTATCCTTTTCTTCGGCGCCAAAGATTTGTTCGTAACGCTAGGCAGGTTAGCAGTGTGCCATTAGATAGAATTCAGAAAGAAAATCAACATACCGGCTCAATAAAGCTGACATACGACAGCGACGGGAGAGTCTTTTTCAGACCCTCACACAGGTGAGTCCAAGTCTCAACACGCTGTTCACCGCGGGCTTGATTGAACATACCAAACGGCGACAATCTAATAGCGAGATTGTGCTCACCAATGGTCCTCGCCACCTGCTCCATCAATTCAAACACAAACTGGCAGCGCTTCTCTGGAGTACCGCCGTAAGAATCCTCACGCTTGTTGATGTTGGAGCTCAAAAATTGCTCCGGCAGGTAACCATTACCGCTATGGATCTCAACACCATCAAAACCAATATCCATAGCAGTCTTAGCGGCAATGCAATAATCGTCGATAGTTTGTTTGATGTGATCCACCGTCATTTCGATAGGCGGATGATTGGCGTATGGCACGGGCTCGGTGGACCCGACGGGCGGATGCGAATAACATTCCGTCGCGGAATCCCACACAGAGGCCGAGGGGCAAACCGCGGGCGATCCAGTCATTTGAGGGATCGTTGCACGGCCAGCGTGCCATAACTGGCAGAAGATAATGCCTCCCCTTGCGTGAACGGCATCCACGACACGTTTCCATCCCGCGGCTTGTTCGGAGTTGAACAGACCGGGTACTCCGGGCATTCCATTGCTCTAGAAAAGAATATTAAAATTAAAGTTTGAAATTATAATTAGGCGAGTTTCCAAATTCAAACAGCCGATTATCCTAAATAGGACCGGCAAGTTACTTTTGGGTTATGATGCTTACCTCGAGCGATGGTGGGATCCCTTCCGAGATTATCAAGCCACCTTTGGTAGCACGCTGGGAATAATACTCCACAACCGCATCTCCAGGGATCCAGATACGATTGGGGTGATCTGGGGTGCTGGTAGGTTTCAATGGCTCTCCGCGGTTGCGGGTCAGAGGTGCATGGACGACACGATGTTCGAGGGTAATGTTGCCATTTGAAATAGTCAGGGGTTTGAAGAGATCGGAACCTTTGCCGTCCAAGTATTGGATAGTCATGTTTCTCTTTTTTTTTTTTGTTTTTCTATGCCGATTTACTATTGAATTGAATTATTGCGGACAGACGGGGATTATAGAAGGGAGAAAAAGGAAGGGAAAAGAAAACAACCCCTTTTCGGCCTAAGGACGATCATTAACTAAAGACATTGTTGCTGTCAAAGCTGTCATAGTGCCTCGGCTAGCCAATATAGGGTTTAACTAGGATCCATTTATTTCTTTGGTAAAACAACGGCGTTAGTGGCGAACTGCAAATTTCGGATCGGACAAATACGAGACACTAGAATCGATACTATTTGTCCGACTAACCTGGTGGAGTATAAACATAATCATAGCGTTGTCTAGCGTTCGAGTAAATTTCTAAGATCCATTCATAAAATTCCACTGAATACCATCCCGGTGGGGTCAATCGCATCTCCTTGGTCAATTATCGCCGTCATGGATCATTTCTGGTTCCCGCGCCACTAGGTATTACATAGTACATTACTCCGTAGTAGGGTAGTGGTTCGATAGCTTTCAAGTCTCCACTGAAGATCGTCTGCTTGTCTATCCTCATTTTCACGATGTGAACTTCTTTATCTTGTCAATTCCCCGCTACTTTTACATTGTAAGGGGGGGAACTTCAACTTCAACTTCAGCCCCATCATGACTGTCGAGGCCCCCACGGATGTCTTGCATACTATCAATCTCGTCACACAATATATATGTATTCCAGTCGTGACGATATTTGTGGCGTTGCGATTCTATACCCGGTTTCGATTCAAGCAATCCCTAGGAGTTGAAGATGGTGAGTTTGTCCATGGCACATTTTTCGAAGATTTTGCTAACCATTCTCTAGTTGCGTGTACGATATCCTGGGTACGTTGAGCAAGATAAATATAGTGCTTTATTGACCACAGCTGACTTGACGCAGCTCCTGTTTATGGGATATTGTGCAATCGGCATTGTCAGTAGGTGTTAGACCTCCCACATATAACCAACTACATACTTACATGCTCTACCAGTCGGCGAACATGGCGGAGGATACTACTTTAACGAACTCAGCTCTAAGCAGCAAATAGCATTTAAAAAGTTCTGCTACATTGCGACCATTCTCTACTGTCCGATGGCACTCTTCGTCAAAATCGCCCTCCTATCGATTCTTACCCGCATCTTCTCCCCATATCGCGGCAAAGTCTGGTTCATCTATATCTTCCTCGGCTGCTTATGCTGCTACTACCTCGTCGCTCTGATCGTCAAGATTTGCATGTGCAACCCCATCCCCAAGTACTGGCTCGGTGACCAGGTGCAGGGAAGTTGCCTGGACCAAACCGCTGCCCTCATCGCCGACTCCGTGATTAGTGTCGTCAGCGACCTTATCATCCTTATCATCCCATTGCCATTGACATGGTCTTTGCAAATGTCGCGCAATCGAAAGCTGCGCGTGATAGGCATACTTGGTGCTGGTGGACTGGCCACCGCCTTCAGTCTTTACCGGCTGGTGATCGTGTTGAAAGGCTCAAAAGATGAGAGCATCATGTTTGTTACTGTCATCTTATCCGGGTATGTCATGTTCTCCCTTCTCCCGTTAAAGATTTTTTTCCTTAATTCTAACGCCCAATAGCAATGCCGAGGGAGGTGTTGGATTGATTTGCGCATGTCTACCTGTCCTCAATGTCATGTTCGCCTATTACAAGAAGAACTACTCGTCGCAAAAATACTACGCAAACGGCGGCTCTACCCATCCGTTGAGTGATAGAAAGTCAGCCCCGGCTTCGAATGTTGCTACTGACTGGGACAAGGTGACCAACTTTGGTGATCAGAGCCATCTAATTTCATTTGCTGGTCCCCCGGAGGCTGGTGAGTCGATCTACAACCAGGACGGCATCAGGAAGACGGTGGCTGTGTCACAGACCGTGGAAACGTCTTAACGGGGGATGTTTTGTCAAATTTTCTCAATGTTATATACCCACCATCATTAATACTATAATGAATTTTCTTTCTGTCTCTCTTTCTTCCTTCCCTTTTTTAGCTGCATATACTATTGTGGGTATACGTACATTGCCAAGTACAATTGATCGTCTTTGTCTTGGCCTTGGAAGACCGGCAATGTTAAGTCTTTGTTGGCGTGTATGCCCTTTGTGTCCCCGTATCAAAGACCAAACAATGGTCTTCACAACTTCCCTTGTCTTCTATGTCCGAAGACATCTTCGCAAATTAACCATATAAATACTCCCAAGTCCCCCATCTACTCGAATCTATCACCCACTACCCACCGCAACCATGCCTCCAGTATGGTCATCCTGGCAGGAAAAGCTCCAGCACGAGTGCAGCAGTTTCAGATACAACTTGGATGCCCAGGCCCATATCCTTCAGCACGATCCAGATCGTCGAGGAAAGGAGCGCCACACGGATATCTCTCGGGCGGTAGTAAAGCTAACTGGTCAGGCGGATGGGATCATAGATATTGCACTCCGTACGGTTACCGAGGCTCCGGATAGCGATATTATTCGTCGGAATACTACCTTTTGGTGCCGTGAGGAGGATGGTCGTTACAAGTTCGAGAATGTTTTCTTGGGCATGGAGCATGACTTGATCAATATAGTATTGGCTCTTAAAAAGGACCCGTGTCAGTGCGAATGCAATCGGATGGGTGCGCGTCTTGATAGAATCGCACGGAAGGTTGCTTTTAACCTTAACGTTTAGATAGTTGTTGGACATCAGACTGTCCGAGTATCAGACCATCCTATGATATATTGTTTGCCTGGCTGAGCGCTTGTTTGTCATAAAGCTTAGGTATTAATACCCTGCTTTCACATAGATTGAATATCAGAGACTTTTTCCTTCTCCATCTCTCCTTCGTAGTCACAAGAATGGTGATCTATGGAATCATTTGCTGCAGAGTGTCTTTATCCTAACATTGTAATCTAGATACGTACTGTACTAGAGGGCGTCATATATTGTTTCTCCCCGACGATTATTCTCTCATATATATCTTCTTTGAGCATATCGATAAAAATAGGGGTAAAAATAGCTTTAAATGTAAATAATATAAAAAGAAAGGCCAAAAAGAAATCTCTCCCTCGGGGAATCGAACCCCGGTCTCCCGCGCTTATCGGTATTAATGACAAGCGGAAATCATCACCACTAGACCAAGGAAGATGTAGCCGAGTTACTGCTCGGCCATTGGAATGGTTGATGGAAAGGCAGGCAATCTTGATCTTATGAGCGGATTCTATCAAATCATGCCTCGTATACAACGTTGAAATATTTGAATAAAAACTCTGTAGCCTTTTTCCAATTTTGATTGAAATCCGTTTAAATGCTTATTTAATGGGACATAGTTGCATTGATATTCCTTTGGGGGTTTTTGAGGAGCAAAAGGCAACCAGATTGTGACGATATATATCTATGGTGAGGAAGTATAAAAGCCCACGATATCATTTTGAAATAGTGAATTCTTCGGGGATTCGTAAAGTAGTGAATGTCCTGGCGGCATATCCGCCCGAACAAAAAAAAAAACATCATCATCTGAGGGATGGATTGGGGTCAAACAACCCCGAGTTATACCACAACCCATCCAATCCCGCATCAAACCCAAGGGACCACGAACCATCAATAAATGGCCATTGAAACATATCAGTTTCAAAGTCATGGTGACCGCCAAACGCAGTATTATCTCTGGCAAGCAAATTGTTTTCACCACCAAGACCAGGCGACGACGAAGTCCCTCCACGGGCATGAGAGCTGTGGGTATCACGGGATTCAGAGGTTCGTGCCCTAGTCGCATACGCGTCTCTGCTTGGACGAGATCGGATGTCACCATATTCATCCAGGGTACCTGCGAGGGCGAATCTCCTGGGGCTGTGCATTCCAGACTCGGAGTGGGCTTGGTTATTCTTGACTATTTCGTAGAATCGATTTGCTTCTTGGACCGTTCGCCACTGATTATTGTTAGCTGCGATGTTTGATTAAAGACGTTTTGAAATACTTACCCAGCTGCGACCAACGGGCCAAAGTTTACTTAGTCGCTCGAGGTAATCAAGATTTCGACTCTTTTCTTCTTCGGCCCGTGCAAGGCCCCCGGGATATCGCTGTGGTGCAATTGTCCCGTACATGTTGATATGAGCAGCGACAAAGACACTGAAGCCAGAATATGGTGACATGACAGGTGCGCCGGAGGCGTCTAGTGCATTGAGGATACCTCCAATCTGCTGAGCGGCTTCAAATAGCTGTTTGATTGTATCGGGTTCGCCTCGCGCGTTATCATTTGTGTCATGGAAAACGTCGGAATGGGGTTTGAGGCTGGATAAGAAGCGATCTCTGTGGAGAAAAAGGATGCTGAAAGAAATGAGTTAGTATCGCTGCTTGTAATGCGCCAAATAAAAAAATAAATACCTCATGCAATGAACCAGATTGATGTACGCAAACAGCTCCCCATACCCGAGTGCTACATGCGACTGAACGCTAGTAGCTGGGAACTGAACGGTCACATCCTGAAGAGACCTCCATTCATCCAGTTCTTCCTTGAGGACCTGCCAAGTCAAGAGGAGCGGGGATGTAGCCGAGTCGTTTGAAGACAGAGAGGCCAGTGCTCGTCGATGTTCGTTCGCAAATCTTAGAATCCGTACGAATATGTCGAATCCTCGAGTGACGATTGTGAGGCCATGCTCAATCGTAAGGTCCTTCGCTAGCAAACAGTCTTTATTCATATCAGCAGGCATCAGCCTGCTGGCTGGCGTATGATTGAATGTGAAGTCCCGATCACTGATAGGGAGAGGAACCGAGATCTGGGAGAACGATAGCGCAAAATGTTGACGGGCTCCAGAGCTCAGCTCGCAGTCTTGCGCAAAGCAGCACCAATAGGTTCGGACCAGCTGTTCGTATTGTGTTTGGGATGCATGGAACTCTTGAGGATTGTGCTCCATGCTATCATCTGCCATCTTTAGAAGGGATTGAATCATGTATGTCGCCATGCCTGGTGCTTATCAGCGAGTGATATATGACAAGTTAGAGATTCGATACATACCGCTATACATCCAAGCTTGATATGGTCGCCCAGTGCCCCACTCATAAAATGAGATCATCACGAGGGACTGGGCAAGATAGAGTGAGGGGGCCTCAAGCACACGCTGGGCAAGATTTTTGCGTGCATAGTCGGCATAGGTTTCTTCTCCTTCGAGTTCATTGCTATTCATAAACCGCACGCATAAGGAAAGGACCGAGGCCACAAAGACGGAGTCCACTGAGTGAACGTTGGATGATATGTCGGAGATTAAAGAGGGGTAATGAAGAAAATTGGTGATTGGAAACTTTTTTCTGTAGGTTTCCACTGCGCTGATGACGATTGCCGGCGACAGCGCTGTTATGGGATCCTTCGATGGGTCTTGAGCCACGGGAACATCTTCCGTGGTGCTTCTTTCTGCATCTCCAATCCCCGGCGATAGGACGGATGATGCCTTTCGTTTTCTTGGGGTTTTGGATGAGACAGTATTCCTCCGTGTCCTCTGCCTTGAGGCGCGGGGATCTGTCAAATTACATCCTTGGTTCTTGGTCTTCAAGCAACGTTGACAGGGCGGTTGCCCTTCATGGACGCATTTGACTTTCGCTTGCCTGCAATAAACGATCAGATAAGATGATACACTTAATATTTACGATTAAAACTTACCGACAAGCCTCACACGAGATTGACAGCCTCATCGAGTGTACATACGGGGAAGAGTGGAGTGGGCCGTAAAAAAAGAAGTGGTTGTCAAGTACGGAGTATCGTGGGGCATATTAAGACAAACTCAAGCCATCGGATCAATGTAGGAGCGCAATTGCACAAATTCAACCATTTATGTCGATTAATTGATTAATTGAACAGTTGGACACACATCCGAAGGAGCAACAGTTACACGGATATCCTAGTATCCGAATGTGGTTAGCGCGATCAGCTGACTCGATTGGATCTATGAAGAATTTTGATATGATTTTGACTTCTTATTATTATATTAATGTTGGGTGCCTCTATAGTGATCGAAAATCCCAGTAGGCAGCAGTAAAGGACGGGGAACCAGTTCAAATGTTGGTTGCCACTGTCCACTGTTGCACCCACGCATTGAACTTATCAATTTCCAGCTCATCCGTGGCCCAGGACGTCACCAGCCGAATGACAGAATTTCCATCATCAAGCTGCTCCCAAACATAGAACCGGAATCTGTCCTGCAGTCTCCGAATCAATTCTTGAGGAAGGATAACAAACACCTGGTTTGTCTCGGTATCCGCAGCCAACTTATAACCCAACTCCTCGAAGTTGGTTGAGATCTTCTGGGCCATCTCATTGGCATGCGTGGCTAGCGCGAAGAACAAGTCTGATCGGAAGAGCTCCATGAACTGAACTCCAAGAATACGGCCCTTGGCCAGCAAAGCGCCATGCTGTTTGAGGTGGAAAACAAAACCATCGGCCAGCGCCCTCTTGACGACGATTGCCTCTCCCATCAGAGCACCGGCTTTGGTGCCACCGATCCAGAAGATATCGGTCATGTCGAAGATCTCCCGTAGAGTGAGATCGTTCTTCCTTGAGCAAATTGCTGTACCGATTCGTGCTCCGTCCATGAAAAGCAGGAGATTTGATTGCTTGCAAATAGCAGAGAGGTTGCTCAGCTCGCGTTTCGTGTAGACAGTGCCAGTCTCGGAGGCATTAGAGATATAAAGTAGGCGGGGTTTGGCCATATGAGGGTAGAATTGATTTTGCTGGAGCGCCTTTTGAAGATTGGTGGGCGTCATCTTGCCGTCAACTGCAGGCACAAGGATAAGTTTGTGACCAGTTGCCTCGATCGCACCTGCCTCCTTGGAGGCAATGTGACCCGAGTCCAGAGTAATTACAGCCTCATAAGGCCTTAGGCAACTGGCGATTGAAATGAGGTTTGCAGAGGTTCCACTGGGAACGAAGAAGATATCTGCCTCGTCTTCATCGCACCCGATCTTATTTCGGATCAATTGCCGGGCACAAATACTGTATTCATCATTTCCATAGGTGACTTGCTGTGTGGAGTTTGTTCGCAAAAGAGCTTCAAGGATTTGTGGGTGAGCTCCTTCGCTATAGTCATCCATAAGGCTGTATGGAGGGCATGCCTCATCTTGGCATAAGCTTGTTGACGGCATGGTGGATATTTGTGAAATGGGTTGAACACAACAAAACGGTTTCCAAGGTTCAAGGTTGAGCTTTAAAAGAAACAAAAAACAGAGCAAAAAATTATTTGAACGTGTCCATGTAGATTAACGGGGAAAAAAAACCCATCGGGAATAATTTTCTCGGGAATGTTGCCACATTTATTCCCGAGACCTGTACCGGGAATTCCGTGCGGGCAGGGGAGATTTCCAGTTATTATCAAGTAAAATTTGTGGGCCGTAACATGGGGTACCGCTTTACTACGGTCTTTCCAATTATGGAATAACAAGTCTCAATTGAGATATTTGAAAAGGTATCTTGTGTGACTTTCAAAGGCAACACATAGGTTCGGTGTCTCTTAAAACACGGGCTCCAAGCTCCGGACACTCTGGAATTGCGACGCTCAAAAGATAGATAGTTGGTATTCCCCTCACGAGATATCCCCCTCATGAGGGGGTTCCCTATCTTTAGATCTGTATCACGGGGCCTTGAGTATCTCGGTGAGCGATATCAGAGTTGCCTGCATCACTAGAAAGATTGCATCAAGGCCGAGTACACCGCTATCGCGATTATATGTAGTGCCTCCCAACGCCCAACCCGTGCAGGGTCGCGTGGTTGATGGTTTTCAGGTCTAGATCTTAGCGTGATCTTGAAATTTCAAACATTAGGTTTTATATGCTGAGGGGATCATTCGGGAGAGTATTCCAAAGTCATCTTTCGCAGCCAGTATGATAACTGACGAGCTTGAATGCTTGCATGGAAGTCGCAGTGGCGAAAGGGAAAACGACAAAGATTTGAAAATTTTTTAAGATGTTAGGATTAAATTCGTAGGCAAGGGAAGATTGAAAAATAGACGACACTAGCGTATCTAGGTGACTGAGCCAATCAGATCAGCACCCATGCTCGGAGGTCGCCGGTGTTGGGTATGATTGAGGTATTACTATGAGTCGAGCAACTTCCACTTAGTATACATGCCACTGAGAAGCCGACCCCATGCCGATTATCTCAACTGCGTTAGCATGTTAACACTTGTCCCGAAAGTTGGACTGTATGCCGGGTCGATGAAACCAGTAACCAGTACTATATACACATTGGACTAGATTCCACCAACCCGAAAATTAATGTACAAAAACCCCCACAAATAATGCAAATAGCATGAGATGACCAAAGCCAAAGAGACTTAATCCTCATGCGACGATGCGAGATGTGCCCGCTCGCCTGGGAACCCATCTTCCGTGCGGACACGCTGGTAGAAACGGACCCGCCAGCCACGGATGACCAGATAGCTAGCCATAACGCCAGCAAACAGACAAAGAAGCAAAACGAAAGAGAATATACCGCTAATATTGCGGATAGCATCGTATGTATGCTTGAGGACCTGGATGGTCTTCTGTGTTTGGGTATCGGCTGCATCCGATGACGCATGGTCAGATTCAACAACCGTATTGTCTCCTGCTGCACTACCGTTTGCTTGGTAGACAATCGATGGGTCAACCGGAATGGGTGTGCTTGACTTCCCTCTGTATCCGACAGACTTCCAGTCGGGGAACTTGCTTCGGTGCATTTCGGATCTGCCTAAAACGGTGCCGTTGACATCTACTGCCTCGGCAGATACCCAGTCCAGATATCCGCGGGCCATGTACATAGTTTCGAAATCGGATCGGGGGTCTTGCCAATAAAGACAGGGGCCTCGAATTCGGAGGCTTGCGCGTAGAAATTCCATTCTGCGACATCAGTTGCGCCGTTCCAGCTGACCCAGAACGTGGTCACCATGTTGGTCTCATCGGTGCCGTAGACAGACGCCACCATGTCTGGCGGGGCCGTGGGGCGACCGGTGAATTCGAATTTGTACCCGCGGTAGGATGAGTAGCGCGAGGAGGTGAAGTTGGCGGTCATCAATACCTCTCCATCGGCGCCATGTTCGGAAATATAGCCCTCTTTGCTCCAGCAGGTGAACACATTGTTATTTGGAAGCAGCTGGGCATTGCCCCGGAGTCTCGAGAGCTGATGATCGGGACGGTTATAGCGCCGGATGACTTTGGCGGTCATAGGCTTTACGCTGGTATCCAGCTCGACAAATAGAACTGATGACATATTTTCCTCATTGAACTCCTCGTCTGAGGCGTTGTTCAAAAACGAGATAACATGGTGCGTTCCGTTCGATTCTATGAATTTCGCGTCGTGCTGCTTCGAAAAGGTGAAATCTTGCTTGAAATCACTATACTTTCCACCCAATCGCCACATGATGTTTCCATCCATGCAGGAGATGAGGTAGATAGTGTTTGTAAACCGTGCGGAGATCAAGTAGTCTCCAATTTCATTCTTGTCAACTGAGTTGATATGCAGATAATCCCAGCCAGGAAGTCCCTCTGCCGGAGAATAGGGGGTGTAATGAACAGTCTCGGGCATAGGAACGCGATTAAAAGAGTCCCACGACTGGACAATCTCGGCAGTGTTGACATCGATTTCAGCATACCCGCCGGTCTCAAGCCAAGTCGACTCTTTCGGGCGACCAAATTCCTCTAGGGTAATCTCATGAGAAAGGTAGATCGTGACCAGCGCAGTTTTACCGTCGTCTAGGATGTTGAACTCGTGGATGTCAAAAATGCCGAGGTCCGCCCGCAGAGGAATCTTTCGTTCGACTTGATAATCCTTGGTCAAGATCAGTCCATACCCGGTGTCTACTTTCGAATCCCACGAGGGTTGCAAGACCATCGAAAGTTGTGGGTCAGGGCCTAGACTGTTGACGACCTTGAAATCGAAGACGTTCCGGTTGTCGAATTGTTGGGAGCCAGTCCAGATGAGGCGCTATTATACCGAAATATGGTCAGCCGTCGGGGTCTGTATCGCGGGGGATTGGTGTAGACGCACTCCTTCTCCATCGTAGATATGGGGACCGATCTGATATTGCTCGTACAAGGTCGAAGGTGGATCGGGGCCCATGTGTAGATAAGGAGCGACGAACCAGTAACCGGGGCTAAGTCGCTCGCGGTTTTTGTTCTGGACATTGAATTTCACTGCCCGAACATCGGGGAGCTAGAGAACGTGGTGTTAGCGGGATCAAACAATTTGCGAAAATGGGACACGTACCGTAACGAATGACATGAGGTCATCGCTGGAATATTGCGCCAGCGCGGTTTGGCACAGCCATAACAGCAATGAAACGCTCAGAAACAGCATTCTTTAAGGAGCGTGGTATAGGGAAGTCATGAAGAAGAGAAAAGGAAAGGGGACCATCGTCGGGGGTCTAGACAAGGCAAGATATGTGCGGATCGAAGGAGGCACTGAGTCCTATGGACCAATGGTAGGGGCTGAAGGGCCAAGCCAATGTGATTATAATTGGACCCTCTCTAACGCAGCGAAGGGGTGAAACGTAGAAAATGTGGTGCTTTATTGCTGCCAAGATCTATGATCATCTTCATGTGGATCGCAAAACCCATGAGGCCTCGTCAGCACTTCTCGGCTGTCGGTAATAATGTCGCCGTTTATAGTCCAGACGGCAACCAAAGAAGCATAAAGTTGTTAGCATTTGAATCTCATTGTTCTCCATTTTCAGCCACATAAGCATAATTCTCCGAATTCTTGGTATGCCCAGGTGTCTTCATACTTGAAACTTCTCTCTGACTTGGCACTTTCTGAAAGGACGATCTGCATTTCCAGGGGCTTACCGCCTTTGATACTGCCATATTGATTTCTATAGACATCACATACATTGAGCTGTAGTATAATTAATGAAGCATTAGACGGTGACTGTTCTGATGTGTTGACCATTTAATGTCACCACAGCTGCCCTAGAATCGTTCGGAATAGCAAAATGGCGCACATCGCATCTTTTTTATATATAGCAGGTCTACCCAACCCGATATTACACATCCAATAGACACTGGGTAGCCACCAGTGAGCCGCTTAAAAAAAGACATACATCCACCCCAGAATGCATGCCATGCAAATCGCTGCAAGAACCAAAAAAAAAAAAAAACACAAGTTGTCCACTATCGTAAACAACACCTCACTCCTCAGGATCACGATAATTCCAAAGCTTTTTCCGCTCCGCAACCCACCAAAGGCCAACCTTCTCGGCCTTCTGAGCCCAATCAAAAGCCTCAGGCCCATGCTTGGAATGAACCTCCGCAGCAAGCGAACCCATAGTCCAGCCCGTGACAGGCTCAAGCTCATACGGGTCTTTATTCAAGTCCGTGAACCGGTACTCGAAGTCATTGTTCAATGGCAGGTTGAGGCGCCATGGCACTGCAGCAGAGCCAACACTCAGCATGGAGCCACCGGCATTGATAACGCCCATGTTCCAGGCTTCGCGGCCATTGTGCGAGGTGCGGTACGGCCGGATGAGGGACTGGCCCTCGTATTCGTTCATCAGATCTAGGGCGATTTCTGTGTCGTCTGCGTTGAGGGAGTTGGTGTTCACAAGGAGATCGAGGATTGTGGGGAGGATGGATGCGGCGCTGCCGTTGACATTAAGGTGCATGCGGGGTAATAGGGGGTGGTGGAATACTAGGGGGACGCGGAAGTTGCTGATGTGTGGGTTGTGGTAGGTTCCTGTGATAGGGCAGTCTTCTCCAAATGCTTGGCCGCTGTTCCCTTGGTTAGATGTAAGGTTTTTTTTGGTCAGTGGTGGGAAATGCACGTACTGGTCTCCCACGAAGACTGTCAAGGTCTCGTTGGCAATACCGGCTTCTCCAATCATCTTCATTAAGTCGCCAAGCCATGTGTCGACGAAGCGGTTTGCGTTGAGGAAGGCATCCATGGGTTCATGTTGTGATTTGTGAAGTTCACCGAAATATTCTTCTCGTTCCCAGCCTTCGGGTGTACCCCAAGGGTGGTGAGTGGTGCTGGTGAAATGTGAAAGGAAGAGCCTCTTGTTCTGACGAAGTGTTTCGTCGATCATGTCTTTGATGTAGGGGCGGGCCTCAGTTTCGGGATAACTGTACCAAGTTAGTATTCACACAGATACAACCGCGGGGTATTCAACTTGACAACATACCCGAAATAGTTAATCTTTTCCATATCCTCACGGAAGTATTTCGCCCCCTCCACATCAATATCTTCCGAGTACAATGCCTGGCTGAAACCGAGCAGATCTATAAGCTTAGTCTGAGCCTGGAATTCTCCAGTGACAGACTGCGCATAGATGGTTTGCCATTCCCTTTCCAGGTGACTATCGGTGGAATTTTCAGAGGCAGATGAATTCTTGCGCTGGTTGAATAGATCCATGATGTGCATCAGACATGGCTGGTATGGAATGATATCATTTTCATGCATGAAATCCACCGGGAGCGGTCCGAGACCACAGTAGTTGACTAGACGCGATTTAGCAGAGAGACTGCTCCCTGACAATATCCCGTCGAAGCTGAGACCGCCTAGTCCGGAATCCGGTGAGTTAACCGACGAGTCGAAGCCGGACTGCTCCCCTGTAAGCATCTCTGCCACGGGGGTAACCTGAGACAGTTTGTCGTGTAGATCGGCTTCATCCTCCTCTCCGTATAATTCATACGAATCACGGATTTGATTGTACAAGCGAGAGTCGTTTTTGAGGGGGAAGAGGTCCTTTCTGCCGCTTTCCAAAAACACAAAGACGATGTGGTTGATCGGGATGGCATGATCCTTCAGAGCCTCCTGCAGAGGACCAAGTGGTTCCAGGTCAAGGTTGCTTATCCTCATGGGATCCTGAGCGGGATTATAGAAGTAGTGTCGTGGTTCTGCTGTTTTGTTCTGGTTTTTAGAATCGGAATCTTTTTCGCTTCTCTCGGACACGCTTTGAACGGTCGAGTTAGACGCCTCCAAGCTAATCCCAGCCGCGTTTGAATCGGGATTCACAATCCATCTCTCAAACGCAGCAGGAAGAGGGCCATGTGCCCAGGCTGGCTTATTATTTCCATAGGCAGTGTTACCCGAGTCATCCAATGTCGGTGCCCACCCCTTATAGTGACCATTTGCAGGCTCCCAGTATTCCTCCGCCAGCAACTCAGGCAGCGGGAATGTTTCGATGGTCATGCGACGAGCCCGAGAGTGTTCTCCGAGCATGGTGAAGGGCAGAGCTCCCGTCATATGATTATATGGGATTGCTGGTCGGATCAGCCAGAGTCCGATCGTTACTCCAGTGCCCACTATCGTCCAAAACCGAGGTCTATTCGACACTAGATTTCTCAGGTCCGAGGGGCCTGGCAACATGCCCAAAGTCTTGTTGTCTGCGAGTGTGTGGAGGGAGCATAGCCATCGGGTCATGAGATTCCAGATCCCCTGAGCCATAAGCCAGGAAGCCACCGAGATGACTGTTGTCGCAGCAGCCATAGGCACCAATCCACTCAATATCAACTTCATTCCCTGCCGACTGGCACCCACGGACCTGGCCGCATCCCATCGAATTTCGCTGCCGGTTTGAGAATAGAAACTAACTTGGGACGCCGTTGCTACCAGATTAATGCATCTGAGGGTAGAAGTTAATATCGTTGCGCATCGTGTTTAGGAAAAGGTGAACCAACGCGACAAGTGCTGAAACGACAACGGCAGCCACTGACCACCGACCGGAGGTTGTATATAAGAGAATCCATACTGCAATGAATAGAAAGATCTCCTGAATAAAAAATGTTGGAAAATAGAGGGCCAAAAGGTATAGGGGAAGAGATCGATGTTGGTATATGTGAAGTAACTTGGAGCAGAGGCTGGAAAGCACCAAAACAGACAAAATCAATCGCTGCGGATGATGAAAACGAGTGACAATCATAATGACCCAGAAAAAACGGCCAACATGAGGAAGCCTTCACGGAGTGTTTTCCAACCCGTAGACACTGTACAATATAAGGGGGAAAAGGGAGAGAAAATAAAAAAGAAAATTGACTGCTCGCGTGCTCCACAGCATACTATCGGAGTTGTGCCATGGCATCGATTGGATTATTGTGAAATCACTCGGATCGTGCGGGTGCGCATTAGCCAAGACACGGTGGCGCCCGACATCCGACCTGGCTCAGGGGTCTTTGCTCAGCCCTGGGGATTGAGCCCCGGACAAGCCCTGGTGCTTTGATGTTTTTGTGTACAATTTAATTTTTGATCGGCGTTCCGGGTATCACACAGCCTCAAGAGGCCATGGCAAATTGAAAGTTCATGTTTCTCGTATGGAACGTATGGAACGGAGTGGGCCGTTTTAAGAGGCTAAACGAAAGAGCCCCGTAGCCCAAGACAGCCAGGGCTGATTTCAGGGGGGATCAGACCCTGCCGGAAGTTTTTTTGGAACACTGGTGGCATGGTTAGCTTGAACGCTAAGGTTGTGGTCGACGAACATGACTTGATGGAATGCGGAGTGAAGGTCTTGGCTGTGTTTTTCCAACGGCTGCCTTCAGCCCTTCGTACTCGGTTGGCGGATAGTGGCGGAATGCCAACACCTCACCACTTTGAGTGTCAACATATTATTGGAAGAAAATTACCGGAAAAAGCCATTTCTTTGTTTTGAATAATGGTCACTAGCTAACTGTCTCCTAAGTATGGAATAACCCCCTGTCTCATCATTACTCTTGCGAATTTCTCAGAGCAAGCACCATTTTCAGATCTTCATATTGAAGCTCACGTTCCTTGGACCAAGCCAGGAGACCGGCGGTCTTGATGACATTCTTGATCTGGCGACCGTTCAGTTGCAACTCGGCCACCTGGTTAAGTTGCTCATCCGTAAAGACTCCCATATTCGATGAGCGGGTTAGGAACTGTGTCCAAACCTGGCGCCTGGATTCCACCTCAAGCTCCTTGTAGGTGAGGGAAAGGTGGATCCGAGACTCAAAGGCAGGATCGATATTCTGTGTACGATTGGTAGTCAAGAAGAGAATACCCTGGAGAGAAAAATAGAAGATTAGTAGCATGTCCTTTTTTGCATATTTCCCATATCTTCTGGCGTTGATGATCTCGAGGTCGGGGCTTACCTCGTAGTATTCAAGCACCCTCAAAAAGATGGAGACAAGTTCATTGCGAGCGAGATCGGCTGAATCACGGCATTCCATAAAAACATCAGCCTCGTCAAGCAACAGAAGAGCACCCCACCTAGGAATCATCCGCAGAATGTCTTTCAATTTGTTCTCAAACCCTCTAACGTCAGTTCCAAGGTCGCCCGCGCTCATGACATAAAGAGGCACTTTCATGACCTCGGCAACGCTCTCCGCAGTAAGAGTCTTTCCAACCCCCGGAGGACCACTGAGCTGCATAATGAAACTCCGGCCTTTTCCCCGAACGACATCGTCAAATCCATCCACTTTCTTGGATTGAGCCTTTGCAACGGCCAAGATCACCTCCTTGAGCCCCTGCTGCTCCCGGGGTAGGATTAGTGAATCAAAGGCCTGCTCATCCCACTCAATGTCTTTCAAATGATCCACGTGGAACGAATTCCATTCCTTGTCATCTAGAGAATATCCATAGAGCATTGGAGTTGCAATGAGGCGCTGAGAATTGTCCAGTTCTTCATCAATTTCTTTGACAAAATTGACAACCCCGCGCCCAAAAAGCTTGTATGCCTCGATGTCGATGATGACGCGACTCTTGACAGAGTATTTGGTCCCGCTCAAATTGGTATCCCGACCTTCGGAGTTTGTGCTGGTCGAAGCCTCTTCATAGGATTTGAAATGGTAACCCTTGTACTCCGCCCACTTCTTGCCCCGTGCAGTCAACAACCCCTGGACGGTGTCTTTTTCTGGGTGGTATTTTAGTGGGAAGATAGGCAATGAGGTAATTGGCATAGTGCCCGCAAACTTGGGTATCAGGAACCCCTTGGAAGTGTATCCGAACTTGCTTCCGTCAAACTCAACGTATTCGGCTGTGAAATAATCACTTTCCGGTGATACATCTTCCGATTCGAGCGAATACGCACGTAGCGCTCCATCACTCGAGGAAAGGACCACATCTTGGGGTTCTAGGATCGTCCAAGTCAAGTCGTAAGTGATTACTCCTTGGGCAACCAAGTCCTTCTTGCGGTCAATCACATCCCTGAGCTCCTCATCCATGATGCGGTAGAGCAGTTCTATATGAGTCTTGGTTGTTGGATCTTGCTCTTCATCTCGGAATTTGGTGATTGCTTCCCATCGATGAACAAACGGTGGGAAAGGCGATTTGAATTCGAGGCGCTTCAAGGTTGGTGTGACACCAGGATAATCATTTAGGGCCCGCTTCAAGAACTCCTTGAGACGCTCGCTTTGCACTATGATGGAATGAATAGACAAACTTCTGCGTCCATCATAGCACTTCTGTTTCCTCACGAGAAGCGCATATTGTGCCGATTCTTCATCCTCAACGGGCTCAGGCAAGTCGGGGGGTAGTTCTTTGGCCCATGACCGTTTGCCATATACATCACGCTTTGTCTGGTAGAGGGTGTGGAAATCACAGAGGGTACCAACAGGCTCATACTGGATATCCATGGCCTCGGGTACTGTGGTACAATCGTTGGCTTTGATGATTAGCCTAGGTGAATCAAATGTTGAAAGAGATACTTACCAAATCCATCTGAGACGTCGATCGTCATGATGAAGGTTAGCTAGAGAATTAGAAAGGGAAGAAAGAAGCGCTGGAGTTTCAGAGAGAGATGAACTAAGTCGAAGGTTCTAAGGTTGGAAGGAACCTTGGATTGTCCTTATCTCCAGGGCAATATGTTTGTCCTGAGGTAATTATTACACCTAGATGAATTTGTAGGCATAAACATTACATATATCATTCTTTTACCTAGTTGGATAGTAGAGCCATAGACAACCTTAGAATTGTATAAAGATGTAGATCAAAGCCCTCACTCTGATTGGATCTGATATCAGATAAAGAATTTTCAACGGTGATTGGTGCACGATCTATTATGGATCCCAGCTCCATACATCATGCCATATTTCTGAGGGTACATAGTTGTTCTCCACAGCCAAAAAAAAAAAAAATAGAATCTTTTAGATATGTTTCATAAAATGCATGTTGTCGCTATCGCTATCTAGAGAATTATGTTCTATATACATGAGTTTGGCCCTTCGGCCGAAAATTACAATCTAAAACCCGCTAACTCACTCCGTTTGGAATGCTGTCAAGCGAGCCCTGATAACCTCCTCCGAATCCTCAGTGTCCAGCTCACTGAGCACACCTGATCCAACATCATAAATCAAGCCATGAACCTGGAGTCCCCGCTCCCGGATGGCATTCAACACAACGCTCTTCTGCTTGACGATGTTCAAACCCTCGCGAACGTTCAACTCGCCCAGTTTCGAGGCCGCCTCGCCAGCTGGCATTGACTGCAAAAGTTTCAGGTTGCGCTCACGCAGCTGACGAAGGGGAAACAGCCATGGGTCCAAAATACCCAGGTTCTTGTTGCCCATCGCGGCCGAGACACCACCGCAGGCAGTGTGACCGCAAACCACGACGTGGTTGACGCGCAGGTATTGCACGGCATATTCGATAACCGCGGAGGAGCTAAGGTCGCCGGGGTGGACGACGTTAGCGATGTTGCGATGCACGAAGACATCGCCGGGCTCGAGGCCCAAGAAGGTGGTTTCCGGACAACGAGAGTCAGAGCATCCGATCCATAAAATCTGTGGCGTCTGGCCTGAGGCGAGGGTAGGGAAGAGGTTGGGGTGATTGCGGGCTGTTTGTGCTGCCCATTCCTTGTTCAGGCGCAGGCCTGCTGTATAACGATCTGTGAGATCCGCACCAGAGATGTCAGTCTGGGTCTTAGGGTTGGGACGTGTGTTTAAGCTCGAGGGTGACTCTGTGCTGGCGTTTTTATGACCGGCGCAGGAAAAGGGTGTGAAGGTTGAGAAGGGCTTGTGAGGCGCTGAGACAGTGCTGCGCGTCCCTTGAGACCGAGTCATGAGCAGGGGACCCGGTGAGTACCGGGAGGCCTCTGCTACACGCGTAATGAGACCGGATCGCCCGGTGAGTCTCGCAGCACCTATGGAGGAAAAAAGGGAAAAAGGGAGGAAGGTGGGATATACAAGGATTGGTGAGGGGAAAGGACCGAGGGAGACCGAATAATGATACTGATGATCAGGGAGACAAGTAATCCCAACAACCGTTACTTCTCACAGAGCTCTAACAGTTGTGATCGACATGAAGTAGAAAAGAAAGCGGGAAAAATTGATGGGGAAGTTGAATTGCCAGGAACGCGCAAAAACACCCATACACTTACCTTCAACAACCATGGAATGCTAACAGTGGAGAGTGATATGGAAAAGAGGGAGAAAAGAGGATATTGTTAGAACTATATAAATTCCCAAAGTAAACAGTGGGGAGGTGAAACGGAGAATTCCGAGGAAGGGGGCAGATTGGCGTACCGGCCTTTTTCGTTCAAACACGAACGCCTCGTGAACTGTCAGGATATATACAAGCCACGTTTTTTAATCGCTCAATCATATATTTTTTTTAAAAGAGAGAGTTTGGAAGTGTAAATGCTTTTGTAAAATCAGAATAAGTACATGAGATTTTCTATATTTCAAGATGTACCGCCGCGACCACCGACACTCAACAATGTCTTCTTCTGTTCCTCACTGATCTGAGCAGCAGGCAGAGGACGGGCTCCAGCGACGGTCGGCGCGGGCAGGAAACCAGTTTGAACGAGATAAGAAGCGTACAAGCCGACTAATTCCTCGGTCACGCCAGCACCGGCTGATGCGTCGACGCCCGACCAGGCCGCATCGGCCCGCAGAGCCGTTGCTGCATTCACATCATCCAATTCTGGAGCTTTGGTGTTGGAGGGAAGGTCTGTGGTAACGAAGTGATAAAGGGGCATACTAAAGAAGGTTAGTATGGATACATTAACGGACCGAGAAAAGTGTACTTACAGAGCATGCTGAGACTCCTTGTCATTGTGCTCACCATCGTTGACATACTGCTCAAGAGAAGTGGACCAAGGAACGTAGTCAACCTGAGGAACATTGTATCCGTAGAGCTCCAGCGCACCCAGGAATTGGTTAAAGCGCAAACGAGGGTGCCCAGTAACGTGAGCGACGTTAACGCCCGTGGAAGGTGGGTGGAAGGCAGTGGCAATGACAATACGAGCCACATGGTCAACGGGCACCATGTTCACGGTGTTGAAGATATTTGGGCGAAGGCCAATTTGAATGCAGCCCTTGAGCATACGGATGAGGAAATCATCAGTGTTGGTAGTTCCGGTGACCGAATCACCAAGAACATATCCGGAGCGAATAATGGTTCCCCTCAGGCCTCTGCGGCCAGCCTCTTTGACAAGGTATTCTCCGGCCCATTTGCTCTGACCGTAACCGGTTCCGAGGCCAACTCTGCTGCCCTCCATATCGTCGTCTTCGCTGATACCATTTCCACCAGCGGCGATGATACGTTCGGACTCTTGAACGAAGTGATCCTTATCCAAAGCACTAGTCGAACTGACGAAAGCAAACTGCTTGGCCTTTCCGCTGGCGCACAGCTTGAGGGCATCGATGGTACCCATGACATTAGCCGGTCTAAGTGTCGCATAGGGGTAGACCCAGTGGACAAGAGCTCCATTGTGAATCACAGCATCAACACGGTTGGTAAGGTCATCCCACACTGACTGGGAAAGACCAAACTGCGGCTTTCCAAGATCGCCACAGACGGCTTGCAGCTTGTGGGTCCATGCTTCATCCCAGAAACCATATGCGCGGCAAGTGGAGCGAAGTCGCTCAAGTGCCTGCTCCTCGGTCTTTGCCCGAACCAGAGCTACCACCTTAGTGGAAGGTGACTTACGGGTAAGTAGATCTCGGAGGATATGTGCGCCTAGGAAACCAGTTGCTCCAGTAAGGAAGACGGTAGGTTCACTAGTGAGCATAGCCTCGGTACGCTGAGGGAATGTCTGAGGTAGTTCATTCACAAGCTGGACGGCATCCTTCGAGTACTCGTCGTCCGGCTCATTAGCAGCTTGCACGGCCAGAGACTTGTCATCGCTAGTTGCGAATGATTCCAAAGCTAGCAAGCGATCAATCTCGCCAGCAAAGCCCTTAAGGGTCGGGCTGCGGAAGATAGCATTCATACTTATGTCAATAACACGCCACTTGCGACGAAGCTCGAAGAACATTTGCTGTGCGAGGATACTGTGGCCGCCAAGGTCAAAGAAGGAGTCATCCGGTCCAATCATGCGCGATGTCACATTGGGTATGAGCTTTGCCCAGACTTGAGCCAGAGTCTGCTCGGTTTCGGAGAGTGTCTGCATCGCAGACGAGCGGCGGCGGGGTGCAGCGGCGCTCAGCTCTGCAGTGTCTGGGAATGGAAGTGCGGGTTTGTCGACCTTGCCGTTCGGGTTCAGGGGCATGCGCTTGAGAGGAATGATAACAGTCGGAACTGCGTATGTAGGGAGCTTACTCCGGAGATGCTCACGAGCATCATCACGGAGAGGACGGAAGCGTCTCAACAGACCAACCATACCCTCAGATTCAGATTCGTCATCCTTAAGGCCCTTGCTCTCCAACCAGGAGGCCCACTTGTTCATATCGGGTACAAAGTAGCTGACCAACGTCGGTTCCTCGTCTTTATCTCTTCGCACCAAGGTCACGTTCTCACGGACTAGAGGGTGCTGAGAAAGATGGGTGTCAATCTCTCCAAGCTCAATACGGAAACCACGAATCTTCACTTGGTCGTCGGCGCGGCCAGAGCATTCAACATCTCCAGACGGCGTGTAACGGCCGAGATCACCACTGCGATAGAGGCGATCACGAGGACCAACGTAGAATTCGCGCCAAGGCTCGTTCTTGGATTCGGCCTGATCCTTTTCCACCCAGACTTCGGGTTTAACGAACCAGTTGGTAAGGAACTTCTTCGCGCTCAGATCCGGGGAGCCGAGGTAGCCCTCTGCAAGACCAGCCGCACGAACGTAGATTTCGCCGACTTCTCCAACAGCACAGAGACGAGTGGGGTCATAGCGGTTGACAACAAGCATCTGCACATCCAACATTCCGCGACCAGCCATAATCACATCCTTCATATTATTCAAGTAGCCCTCGTGGCTGGCATAGCTAGGAATTTCAAAGTAGCTAACAGCTCGCTGGGTCTCGGTTGTACCGTACATGTTCACAATGCTGACATTGGGCGCAAGTCCTTGGAGCGAGCGGCAATCACGCTTTATCAGAATGTCACCAACAAAGAATGCGTGGTGAAGAGCAGGGAATTGAGCAGAGGCACCACCGACAAGAATCTGACCCATAGCAGGCGTAAGGTGGGTGATGGTGGCACCGTACTTCTGCATCCATTCAGCAAGCTTTTCGTTTTGGATGTCCTCCCGAGCGGGCACCAGAAGTTGAGCACCCAAGAACAATGGGGTAAAGATGTCTCTTTGAATAGGATCGTGAGCGATGCCACTCAGCATAGTAAACTTCTCGTCTGGTGTGAGCTTGAAAGTCTTAGACATCCAAGGGAAATAATAAGCCAAAGAGAAGTGTCGGCCACGAACGCCCTTCGGCCGGCCTTCAGAGCCGGACGTGAAAGACAGGGTTGGAATAGAGTCAGGCCCAACAACGACACCAGTAGACTTGGATTTCAGTGCAACCTCGTTGGCGAAGACATCCT